CGCCCCCTATTTCTAGCTCCCGTGATATTGACGGGCTGGAGTGTTCAGTAGTAACGCGACAATAAGAATAAAACTACAGTAGAAGTCCATTAGTCCGGCATCCAACAGTCCGGAATGCCCGATAGTCCGGCATTGCTCCGGAAAATTTTAAAAATTTTGGTTTTCTCCAAAAGTGTGTCTTTAAATCAAATAAAAACGCTCGAGAGCTATTCGGAAGTTTTCGGGGTAGTTCGGGATCATCCGGAAGCGCTCGGTACTAAAGCCATCCTTCTTTTGGACAATTGCAAAGCCCACCCGCCAGTCGATGAGTCAGTTTCTGGAAATATTGTTGCTTCTCTGCTCCCACCTAACGTAACATCTTTGATTCAACCCATGGGTTATTCAAAATTTTAAATGCTTTTATAGAAGGTCTTTTATTCAAGGCCTGTTAAATGCCGACTGTGACGTGACTGATTTTCAAAAAAAGTTATGCCAAAAGTCAAGAAAACAAAAAGACATTCGTGACTTTTTAAATCTAAGTGAAATATGTTTTACAGAACGTGTACATACATTACATGAGATGTAAAATAAACTTTGTTGTATGTATTTGCTAGTTCAATCATTAACCTAATTGTTCGTATAATTACCGCCCGATAGACCGGAATTTTCGGTAGTCCGGCATCGAGCCGGTCCCGAACGTGCCGGATTATCGGACTTCTACTGTAATTCATTTCTTTTGCCCGGAAAACATTTCATTTCTCATTTTACACATCTGATGGCAGTACCAGGATATTTTTAAGGTAATTGTAGATAGTTTATTTTAAACTAGTTGCAGCACTAATCAAATACGTAATACAAATATAAAAGCCAAAAAATAGGCACTTTTATGATCGTTTTCTAGAAAATTAACCGATTGTTAAGGGGTTAAGCACTTTTCTTAAAAAAGCTTGAAGGTAGGTGTGTAACAATAATAAAAAACGATTCTATAAAAAATGTGGAATATATCCTACACAATAATAGAATAGATTCCATAAAAAGGGAATTATGAAAATTTTTGGTTCAATATTGATTCAGAAATTCATTCTGCTGAGAAAAAGGGGAAGATAAAGAAGTGGACGTGAACTCCTTTTCATCTGGAAAACTTATCGGATTTAATTTTTAGTACTAGCTTTCACTAAACTTGACATCAATAGGTCCAGTGAGAGATATTTAAAAAAATTCAGACGACTCCTTTCAATTCGCGTGTTCATCAAAATTGTAAGTTCTGAAGAAAAAAAATCAGGAATAACCGGACAAAACGCTAAAAATCAGTACAAATAACACTTTTTTTTTTCTACCAGGAAAGTCAGGGCAAACTACGAACCCTGACTAAGCTCTCCAATTACTATTGCATGCACTTAATGGAATGAATGTGGTATGTGCATAAAATGTTAGTTATACAGTGTAAAACATGAGTTATCAGGTTAATGCGTTTTGATAATAAGATTTTTTTTTTTAAAAAAAACACACACACGCAATATAACCGGAAAAAAACTTTATTGAATGTTTTTAATAAGTTACAAATATACACAGGTGTGAGGGTGGATGCCGAAATATGAATTTATCCATCTGAAATTAAACTAATAGGTTAAAAATAATCATGAACATATTACCCTAAATCAGAGTACTCAGCACATTCCCATTACCTTTTTTGACGGAGACAGGAGTGCAGAAATTAAACTTATAATAGAAGATCTTAAGCGAAAAATTATTCCCCCTCCCCCATAGAATTTCTGATTATAATACTCCAACATTTAATGGCAGTTGCCTTTTTTATGCATAAGGCACTCCTAGAAACATGACAGACAAAAAAAAAAAAAAAAAAAAAAAAAAAAAAAAAAAAAAAAAAAAAAAAAAAAAAAAAAAAAAAAAAAAAAAAAAAAANGCTAGATAAGCATATTTTTAATGAGGTCAAAAAATATATAAATCAATATTAACAGCAACAAAAAAAACATGTTAACTGTTTTATTACATTCAGTTACATTAATGCAAATAAATTCATCATGAGAGAAAACTTCTATTCCATTCTTAGCAAAAAGTGGAAAACCAACTATTTTAAGTTTTTTTAAACAACGAAAATTCTTTTTTTTTTTTGGAGGAAAATATAATTTTTAGTAAAAGATAAAATCAAGATTGTTATTTAATCATAATTTACTTGAAAAATTATTAGTGCTGAACGTTTAATCACATTTATAAAAAATATTTTTACTAACAATGAATGCTATTTTTCTTAAAGAGTGGAGAAAATGTTTAGAATTCATTTGCAGATGCAAACTAAATTCAACAAACTGAACTTGTAGTTGAAAACTGATAATGAAAATATATAAAATTCAGTCATAATTTATTAATTTAGTCAAGCCTCAAGGAACACCAAATCAGACAACTCACATCAGCACTCCTGAACGAAATCTTGAGCTGAGCTTATCACATATGTATCAAGAAATGACGAAAAATAAAATTCCTTTAGAGAGCAGATGTTATACTATAACTAGTTAAATAGAAAGAATTGTTTCAAATTCTATAAACAATTATATTAATATCTTAAAAGCGGTCAAAATAATTAACAAAAAAAAAACTGATAAAATAACTGCATTTGGTTCTACCTAGAAGCATCTGTAAAACTTTTTTTTTCTTTTAAAGTAAAAAGATATTATACTTTAATAAGTGCATATTTAAAACTACTGCAAAATGTTTATTCTTAAATAATACGCATAAACAATATAAAGACTTACAGGTGAGCTTTCAAGAAATTTGCAATATATTTTGAAATTTGAGGATGATAATTAAGCGCTAATTTCTGTTTCGTCATCCAGTTGCAGAAAAATGCTTATGCTCCATTTGATAATTACTTTGAAATCTATCACACATTGTTTCAAAAAATTCTTGTTACTTAATCTTCTGCTTACGGCTGGTACAGCATTTGGACCACGTGTGATGGTACAACAGTTAAAAATACAAAAACAGTCATTTTTTCAAAATAGAAAAAAATTACCACCAAAGCATCGAAACAAGCTTAGCCATTAATGAATTCAGCCCACGGGCAGAATTTTAAAACAGAAGAAAATATCCTAACCCCTTCTTTCACGTCCAACACAATCTTTACCTTTCCTAGCACAGTCCCATAGACTCCATAGAGATCAAAGGTCTCTACATTTGTTCAGCAACCCTGGGAGAATTTTATGCGGCATTCTAGTTAAACGGTAAAAATGGAGCAAATTTTGAAGCAAGCAAAGTATAGCTATGTTGATGACATTTTAACTGTTTGGAGATACATTTCAGTCTAAAAAATGTGGGTATAATGGAAGAAATAATTTAAATTAAGAAAATTAGTAAATAATTTAAATTAGTAAAATTAAATATCAAAGAAATTTTTTTTAGCTTTTCTTTAAAACTCCCTGATTTTTCCAGCCTTTTTTATCTAATTTCCCTGATTTTTCCAGCATAAAAAAAAATTCCCCAATTCCAGGTGGGTGACCACCAGTAGATATAGAGTAGATTGGAACGTTTTTTCTTTTTTTTTTTAAACTTTTATATTTTTTCATTTATATATGCCAGAACACTAAGTAATACCTAAAGGCTCTGAGGTGTCATCAAGGCAATAGCCAATTAATTCACCAGGACACCGCCGAAGGCATGTAAAGCCAAAAGCAAATGTCCCAACTGCACAGAGGCAAAAGAAAAATTTGGCTTCAGCTAAATGTAAACCATTGCACTCTCAAAAGGATATGTTCTTCGACCCAGCTGATACTAGAGAGAAGCCAAAAAAGGACTGACTACATCTGAGGCTGTCAAGCCAACCACTAGTTTAGTTAGCTGGTCTCCGCACTCCTCAGTCTGCTGTAAAATTGCTTTTATCATTTTGATGTACAAGGTAATTCAAAACGAATATAGCGATTACAAACAGCTACAACTATTTAATGAAAAATAATTTATTGATAAGTTTAACTTAGAATGTGGACGGAACTTCAAAATTTCTTTAAGTAAGGGGCAGTGGAGCGGAATCCTGCGCATGTGAGAGTTCATTCATGAAAAAGGAGAGTCCCCTGCAGAAAGCATCCTGCCTATTAGAATTTAACAATTGTCATTCTGTTATCACAGTGCAGAAGATATCGTCCGTGTCACAATCAAAAACCTCCAAATGGGTGCAACATACACAGATGGCATAGGATGTTGGTGCAAAGGGAAAAGGGAAGGCCATGAGTTTCAGCAGGAAAAGGTGAAAGAATTCGACGCACGTATGAACTAAAAACCCATGAAAATCGACGTACCAAGGCAGTAGGGGGTTACAAACGCCACAAACAACGGTATGGTGTGTTCTCAGACAAAGGTTGCAAATGAAATCGTACAGAATTCAACTTGTACAGCAACTGGAACAGGAAGACTAAGGTAAATGCATGAATTACGTTATGTTTTATGCTGGAAAGCATGAAGGATGAAGCAATGGCTGATCATCTCCTTATCCACATAACTGGGAAGTTTAACCAGCACAACAGTCGAATATGGGGTACGGAAGCCTTATACTTCCTACTAAGAAGCCTTCCACTGTAACTGAACCTGAACATGACTCAGCTAAAGATAATGTATTCTGAGCGACCTCATCATCTAAATTGTATGGTCCTTTGTTCTTCTGAGAGCGTCAAATGGTAAAATTAAATAGTTATAGCAGTTTTTAATTATATTCAATTTGAATTACCCTGTGTTTTAATTGCTTAATTTTGTTAATTTGTTTTCAATAAAGTAAAGTTCACGAACCTTCCATTCTGAGGGTCGCTTGATGGACCGTGATGGTGGCATCTCAGTTGTCAACGCAGTTTTAGCAGTCATCTGCAGCCGGAATGGCATGCCGCTGTGGATACTAGGTGCGACATTTAAGTGTTTTCTAGTTTCCTTCGCTCATTGACTCAATTTGAGGTGCTCATTCTCATGCTTGATCCAGGCGTGTGTCTCGTGTCCGTGTATTGCTCGATCTCTTGTATTTCAGCTGAGTTGCTGGGTGACATGACAAATTATTTGGTGTATGGGCTCAAAGGGCCTGAGGTGTGTTATTCATTCCTTACCTCAAAATTCACGATAAAATAAATTTTAAAAAATCAAAATTTTATTGCAATTTCAAAAAAATAAGAAATAAAGTAAATTGTATTAGAAAAACTTGTCAATCCCCTTCCAAATTCATGAGAGGATCTTTGTCTAAAAATTTTTTTTAATGAAAAAAATCCCGATAGAATCCAAAAAAATAAGCTTAAAATAGTTTTGAATATAAGATCAGGACTTAAATGATTGCAAAAGCAAAATTAAGGAAGTGCTGCCACAAGTTACATCCACTTTGTTTACCATTTTCTTTTAAGGATCAAAATAAATCTTTATCCTTTTTCAAGAAAATAATATATACATATATATATATGACCTGCTAAAAAAAGCAGTTTACAGCTAACTGACAAATATACATTTATTCTACTCCAATACACACTGAATTGTTGAAAAGACATAAGGAGTTTAAAAAAACAAAAACCAGCAGCTTTCCCTCTAAATTACGTTTTCCTTAAAAAGATCTGCTCAATTTTGTTCTTCATTTAATATAAATATTTGTATTTATAAAACGGAATTATTTTATTAAGTGTGTTTTTCAGTGTTATTTTTTCACATTATCACCCCTGCTAATTCTACACATCAAATTGATTAAGAAAAAGGTCTCTTTATTCATGAAAGGGGTAGTGAATTACCACCTACTCAATTTTACATGTATGTGTGGCGATAGATATATCATACCATTATGTCTTAAGTTAAAAGTCATTTGGCCTACAGTAAACGAATGAAATTTAAGTTAATTATCGTATATTTGTAATCTTCTTAGTGAATAATTAAGTTTAACTAAATGACCTATCATTTGAATGACTACTATTTGAAGTCCCAACAACTATGGACATGGGAACTTCCATAGCTACAAGCAGGGATAGAAAAAAATCCAGTAGATTTTACAAAATATAAATTTCATGATAATTGTTGCAAAATATACAAATATTTTAAGTACAGGGAATTTCAGAGATTTTTGTAGTCATCAAAATAGAAAAACTAATATTTTCCACTTATGATTTCACATTAAATGATCTTAAATGTATTACGTTTATTCATAATTTTGAATAGTAAAAGGCATTTTAATTCCTCGAAGTTAGTTAACTGAATTTTATAAATGAGCCACACTTTACTATGTATGAGTAACACTTATTTAAACATTCAAGCAGGCCATAATCTGCAAAAAAAATTCATGTACAAAAACCAGGAGAATTTTTATTAAACAAGTAGACCAGAAGAAACTAGCAAAATCCAGTAGAGTTGAGTATGGATTTCACTATTTATAATTCGTTAAATGCTAAACATTTCAAAAACTGATTTTCAAGGAAAAATACTTATGATTTTGTTACAGATACATCATGCTTGCTATAATCAAAACCATAAATGGGAATAAGGTTCTAATTTGAAATGTAAATTTTAAGTATTATTTTCTTGTAACCTGCAAAAACAAATTTGTATAGTATATAATATGCAGTAAGCTATTTATATAGTTTAATAATCTTGAAATAAATATTTTCTGAAAACATTTTTGAGTAAAAAAAAAATATTTTAACAGAAAAAAAAACATTAAAAATCTATTAAAATATTTTTTATCGTGTAATATTTTATTTAATGCTACAGCATGTTTATATGTTGCTATGTTTTAAGTTCCATTAATTAAATGGCAAATTAATATTATTTACTAATAAACATTGATACCCATTCTATCAATAATAATACTAAATAATAACATTAAACAATGCTGAAGTATGACTTTACTATATTGTGACTGGCAAAGTGGAAACATCTTTTTTTTTTAACCATTTAAAAATGAAAATTGAATGAAATGCATGTAAAATGGTGTAGAATTATTCAGAATTTAATGTTTTCTCACAAAAAATTTCATATTAGGATATTTATTAGGTAAGTAAAAGGTTAAAAGAATACTATTGAATTGTTTATTGAAAACATTAATATCAATAAAAGGCTTTTAAAATATTTAATAATTAACTAAAATATTTTTACAAAATTTAAGAAAATAAAAAACAGTTTAAAAGAGAGAAAGAAAATACCCTCCCCCACACCCTTGTTTTATTGCAAACTGTCTTGCAAAATGAACTGACAGCATTAAAATATTAATAAGCCAGAAAATTTTATCATAATTTAAATAATCTGTATTGCATCTATAGCCGTTATATACACACGAAAAAAATGACAATGTAGTAAGCAACTAAATCCACGAATACATTAATTGCAGCTAATAAAAATTAAATCTTCTTTAAAAAGTTAAGAAACTACAATTTAAAAAAATTTATAAATAACAAATTATTAGTTTTAATGAATATTTAAAGTTAAAGATTCGTAAAATCTCAAACTAGATTAAGATACATTAGACTAAAGAAGAGAAGCTATTACATTTTTAATTTCTTCACTTAATAGCTTTAAATTTAAATTATTTTTTCAAAATATTTACATCCTTATTAAAAAAATTACAAAAATATATGGAAATTAACTTGAGCTTAGGTATTAGAAAGTTGTTTTTTTTTTCTCCTCGTTTGAAAAACTTAAATAGGGAGGCAAATGCGCTTATTTGATGTTTGGTTACTTAAAGCAAACATCAATTAAAAAAATTTCAGAACTTTTTACTTAACTTCAATCTTCCACTTCTAAATAACCTCCACTTCTTTTTTGAAGTCTTCATTTTTGGCTTCATTATTTACCCCTTTCAAAGCCCTTTTTTTCCATTTTTTTCTTTTTTCAATACCTTAAGCTTCACATTTTCGTTATTTCTTAGCTTCAAACCGCATAACTTATATTTTTTTCCTGCTTCTTAAAGAATTTTTTGATTCATTCTTCAAAATTAAGATATTTATTCTTCATAAATGTCTTCTCTTCCAGTGCCCTTAGAAATTAAAATAAAAAACAAGGTCAATATGAGTTCATTTTTAATTTTATTTATAATTTGAAAGAAAACTTTCAAATACAAATGACACAAATTAAGGAAGGGAAGAAAAAATGAACATACAATCTATTACAGATGAATGAATATCAGTTCAAGTAAAAGTTTAACAAAAACTTAAACATACTTAACATTGACTTGTCATATGCATACAATGATAAAATATGAAGGTTAGTCAGTATGAATGTAGACATCAGGTGCTAGTTATTAACTACCAGAATGCATTAATAATAAATTTATCAATAAGCAAATACTGAGATAAATTGCTTTTAATTGTAAGCTAAAAGTTACATTAGATGTTCCTCAAAACTCCATCAGTAGTACCCGTACTTACGGGGTGAATATGAACGAGATCGAGACCTGGAGTATCTATGCCTGTTGTAGTAGGGTGAGGGTGAATGTCCTCTGTAGCCGCCGCCACCGCCGCCTCCACCACCACCTCCTCCTCCCTCTCTATGTCCTCCACTGAACTTAGGACTGAAAGGAAAAATATAATTATTCCTTATTCATTTACCAATACATATTACAATAACAATTCACATACCATACATATTTCTATTTAACATAATTTTTTGAAATAACATTTATAATTAAATTACCTACTAAAGAAGAATATCACGCCTTTATAGAAACCAATTCAACAAAAAACTTTCCTACAAGAACTGGGATACCTGATTTTAAAATTGTGTGAATACAAGTCGCAATATTGGATTTTAAACATGCATGAATACAAATCACAATGTATGATATTTAAATAGAGTGGATACGAATTGCAACACAGAGTGGATACGAATCGCTTATGACTAGCTACTTGATGATACAATATTTTTGGATTAAAAAGAAATATGTCATATTTTAAGACTTATATTAACATTAGTTTAATTACAATATAATAGTATGCACTATATATCAACTTAACAGAAATTATGAAAAAAGAATTACATTAAAAAAATTTGTTCTTCTGGTGTTTTGACGATTTTACGTGTCTGACTATCAGTTTTACAACCATGCGCTATGCTAGTCATTTTTACATACGTTGCAGCACACATCACGTACTCCAAAATTTGATCTAGAAATAAATGAAAATTCAAGAGAATAGGACTCCTTAAAGGCTTGTTTGTATTGTTTTCGTTCAGCCATAATGAATTAATAAGATTATTCTAATGAGCAAACCAATTGCTGTTTTGCTTTTATACAAGCCATTTCCTTTTAATGTTTGCTTTCGCGCTGGCAAACAGGAAGTCACCTGATAATGGGAAGCGCTCTGGCAACATAAGCTGAATTCCTTCTCATTGGTCAGAATTCAGGAACAGGCCTAGAAGTGACTCAGAGCAAAAATATAATAGGAAATATAGGAATTCATTTAAGAAATTATAGGAATTTTATAGGAATGTTTTGAAAATAATATAAGAATCCCTAATATTTTGTTTAAAAAATATAGATTCAAAATTTGCATAGAACATGTACAACTTTTATTTATGTGTTATTCAAAACTAATGTTATGAAAAAACATTTCTACAAAACCCTATCTTGGCTNAATCTTGTGACAGTGGAAGCAAGATAACGAAATAATTTTTAAAAAAAACTTATGACTAGCTACTTGATGATACAATATATTTGGATTAAACAGAAATGTCATATTTTAAGACTTATATTAACATTAGTTTAATTACAATATAATAGTATGCACTATATATCAACTTAACAGAAATTATGAAAAAAGAATTACATTAAAAAAATTTGTTCTTCTGGTGTTTTGACGATTTTACGTGTCTGACTATCAGTTTTACAACCATACGCTATGCTAGTCATTTTTACATACGTTGCAGCACACATCACGTACTCCAAAATTTGATCTAGAAATAAATGAAAATTCAAGAGAATAGGACTCCTTAAAGGCTTGTTTGTATTGTTTTCGTTCAGCCATAACAAATTAACAAGATTATTCTAATGAGCAAAAAAATATTGCCATAAACCAATTGCTGTTTTGCTTTTATACAAGCCATTTCCTTTTAATGTTTGCTTTCGCGCTGGCAAACAGGAAGTCACCTGATAATGGGAAGCGCTCTGGCAACATAAGCTGAATTCCTTTTCATTGGTCATAATTCAGGAGGAATTAAGACTTGTTATAGGAAATTTAAAAATGAAGACTGAAATTTTTAAAATTTCTAAAGCAAATTCAAATAGAGGTTAATTGAAGTAAATCTGTGTATAAAATTTAACATAAATTTTGATACATTAAAATGAACACAGAAATCTGGTAACTTACTATGTAGGTTTACCCATATATATACCAGGAGTGGGCGTGTGAGCTCTTTTAGTTATAGAAAAATCAACACGGATTTTTCTACCATCGATTTCTGTCCCATTGCACCTTTCTTTTGCCTGAAAACATATAGAAAGTCCATGAAATTTAACAAAATAAAAATTCACAATTAAAGAGGAAGTGATCTTTAATAATCCCATAATAATGTTCCCATTTCAAGAATGGAAGAAAAGAAAAAAAAATTCACAAGATAAAATAAATATTTTTTTTCTTTGTAAAAATAAATATTTTTTTTCTTTTTAAAAATAAATATTTTTTTCTTTTTAAAAATAAATTTAACTAGTGTGTCGATTAGCTAAAATTTCAAATAGTTGTAAGAGAAAAGTTTTTTAAATACATCATACCATATAACAAACAAGAAAAAGTAATAAAAATGATGGATGATGGTGTCAAGAGTGTCTTACAGTTGATACTTGGTACACCTGGAGCGAGATTTATTAAACATAGTCAGGGAAGACACAAGGCTTTCAAAATTCCTGGTCCCTGGGACCCATGACTTTTAAAAAAATGGGTCCTTTACATAAATTTTTAAACAAATATAATCTTTCTGAAAAATACTTAATAGATTATTAGTACATGAATTATAACAATATATACCGAGGATGCATACCAATTTATTTTTTGAGTCCCAATTTTTCGATTTTATTAAAATGTTTCGATATCAAAGATTAAAAAGTCGGGAAATTTATAAACTTTCTTCAAAAATTTACGCGTCCCGCGGGACGCGTAGCGATCATTTTTTTGCGTCCGATTTCAATTTTTTGCGTATTTTACGCGCTATAGCGCGTAAATGTCTTCACTGCATAGTCAATGAATATTTTTAATTAATGAATTCTACTTAAAAATAATACAATTTATTAAAAACTTAATACACAATTTTGACTTTAAATCATGTCAAACAAATATATATATATATATAAACACACAATATGGGACCCCTAATTGGGAATCCTGAAATTCGGCACTCTATCCAATAAAAAAAAAAAAAAAAAGAATTTTCTTAAGAAATTTTTATTGATAAGAGAAAAAAAAAATCAGTTATATTCTCCTTTTATACGGAATTTTATTTCTATTCTGATGAAGTACGTAACTTTATTATTTTTTAAAAATAAAAAAGCATGATATAAAAAATAATAAAATTGTGACAAACAAAACATCTTTTCCTGAAGCATTTTAAAATAAAGTGAAAGGGAAATATAAAAACACCTGCATTTGCTATAAACAAAATAAAGAAATGCAAATTGGGAGAAACTGATCAATCAATCTTGACAGCTGTACAAGTGCTCTACTACATTTCCCTCTCCAATTTGACCATAAATTGCCCACACCCAGTTGACATTGAAACTACCACTTGGGGTACAAAATGAATTCTATTCCTTTTGAGGTTTTTTTTAATTCAATTTAAATTATACTCTGTCTCACTTCAAGTTATCGTTATTAGTTCTTTGCTTGTTTTTTGTAGTTATTCATTGTTAGTTTCTTAGCATTAATTGTTATTTTTGAGTAGTTCCTTGTTAACTTAAAAATATTCAACTTCCTAACTTAAAAATACAGACACATTCTCACAAACAGAGTAAAAAAAGAAAATTTAAAAATAAGAATAGAACATAACTATTTTTAAGTTAAAACTAAGCCTAACTAACTGATTAATTATTACCATTAACTGAAGCCTAAGTAATCTCATACTACAGATAAGGGATAGCGTCATGAGCTATGTGTGATCAACAAAACAGCTAAGAAAAGGCCGGTCGACTACTCACAGACTATGACGTTATCAACATAAATTGAATGCACAAGAATAATATTTGAATGCTATGCCACCACCAAAAACGGGTCTCACATGATTGAAAAACTAAATTATTAGAATAAAAAAATATTTCATATTTAAACTATTAGAATGAAAAAAATATTTCAGATTCAACTAGAAAAACTCTAGCAGTTTTATTTTATTGCAATAACAAATTATTTTGTAAGCACAACATTTTTGTTACTTTACATTAGTAACATATATATTTGTCATTATTGAAAGTATCTTGCAGAAAGATATTTGTGGTAAAGAGGTTTGTTCCAGATAGTCCAAAAACAAGCCATAGGTGTGACTGATGGGTGATTTGTGGGCTATTGCAAAAAGAAAAAATTTATGGACAAATTTTAAGGAAAAAATTTTTTAAAATATAGTTATTTTACTGTGGTACGTTTAGATAAAGAAAATTTGGTTTAAGGAGGATCCCATAAATTTCATAGGTAAGAAAATTTATAGATTTCTGGAATTACAATTGCATTATTTACTTCATAAATGAACTTTTAGCACGTTTCTTTTCCCTAAAACATAATAATCCGAAATATAGCATTTCATTCATAATAAAATTCTAATTGACACTTTTAAAACTATAAGTGAATATAATATAAGCATGTGAAAAAATAATTTAACCATAAGATAATTACAAACGAATCAGTGAAATTTTTTGTTTTGTTCCTGCTTCATGAATTAACAACTGATTAATCTACTTTTTTTAGTCATCGTGAAGCGAAAAACAAGTGATACAGATTTTGGAAGTACTGTAGTTTAAAGTAGGCACACCATAATAAATCAGAAAAAAAGTAAGACAACACTCCAATATAAGTACCCATATATTTAGTAATCAATTAATGTGACTAATTTTAAGGTAAAAATAGATTCACATACCAGTTTGGCATCATCAGTGTCTTCAAAATAGACAAAGGCAAAACCCCTGGATCTTCCACTCTATAAGGGAAAATTTTAGTGAAACATAAAATTTATCAGCAACCGATATAATAATATAAATACAAAACACCTAAAAACTGATTGAACTCATACCAATCAAAGACAGAACTGTAAATTCAGAAGAAATTGGCATAATGTTGTGATCACATAAATGTGCATAAGTATAAAAAATAGAGGGCATTAAAATTATATTTGAAAACACATTTTATTATGCAAGTGGGGATAAAAAAAAATTAATGAATAAAAAAAAAATTAAAACTTATAGTTACAAGATTTTAAATTATCACAAAAATTTCTTATTGTACAAATAAATAAAATTTATAAAAATAACAAATAAACAAAATGGTAATACTTAAGTTTTTAGATATATTAAAACTACAATTATACATCATTTCTAACATCAATGATTTGTATTAGTACAGATTTATGTAATGGTTGAAATTTTAATTTTGAAAGAAATTCTTTTCATAATAACCTCTTAAATTTTGGAATTTTTCTTTATTTTTGAAATTTGCACAAAATTTTGATAATTTCAGAACATTAAATGTATTATGACAAAAATTATTACAATTCAATAGTACTTTTAACAGATTAGTAATTTAGGGACACAAAAACAAAGCTAAGAAAAAAAAAGCATTTTCACTTTTGTAATTTTTTCTTTTTTAAAGTGTAGTAAATATAGTTATACAGCAACTTACTACTGAATAAAAAAAGTACTACCTAAGCAAAGATCATAAATAAAGAAATGTGCGACACTAAATTCTATACTTATTTAGAATCAATGTTCTAGTTTGGGCAAATTTGAACCAGCCCTTATTGCCTTTTCTGCAAAATAGATGGGCAGTTGTTTTATCCTCTTTCCAGGAGAAAGATGTATCACGAGCATACTTTTGATATTGATTCAAATATCGTCAATATCATCTAAGTATAATTTATAGCGCAATGTCTAAGTCATACTTTTACAGCTATACTAGTTGGCAGATACATTAAATCACAGGGTGCATAGGAAATTTTTTTTTACAAAAAAAAAAGCCCTGTAAGCCCTTTGTAAGCAAAGCAAAAATACTTTTAAGCACTAAAAACTATCATGCACCCATAATTTCATGACATTCCTTTCATCGAAAGTTCTGCAGATACAAATTTCGAAAGAGCAAATTTAGAATTTTTGCCTACTAACATGAACAATTTTAAATATTCAATTGCATTCTATTCTTTATACTATACTTTAAATATCTTTTCTTTATATTATACTTTATATTAAAAATTCATTCAATTATGTGAAAAGAATTGAAGAAAATACCAAAATTAGTTTTTAGAATTAGAAATAAAAATTTATAAATGCATACACAACAAAAATATTTATAAGACTATTTTTTTGATCATACTGCATTTATGTCGTACAATTTTAAGTGAGCACTAAATAAATTCATATTACAAATATAATTTTTTGTATGACCTTTTAATTTATTATAAAAATCTGTCATTTTAGTCAATACTTTTTTTAATTTAATAATTAAAAAACAGTTTGAATAATTTCAATTTGAAAACAGAATGAGTAATGCATATGAACATTTCTGATAGAAGTAAATTATATCGACCTAACATATTAATTTAACAATTCTGAGACTATTGAATTGTTAACTTAAAATGCTTTTTCAATCAAATGATAAAGAGAAATACTTAATGCTTAAGAAATGACCAATTTGAATCATTTGATAAATATTAAAAGGGTCCCCCAATTTATACTTTTAAAATCGTGCACCTAAAATTTAGCGTGTTTTTTTTATAGATGTTAGGTTGAATTTTAAAAGATAGAAGATGAATCTTGAAAATGAGTTTATCCAATGCTATGAGTGAAGTGAGAATCCTTATGTGAACAGTGCTTATTGAATCCAGATGCAAACTTAAAAGTAGTGCATCAAACATGTAAAACAACTGGCTCTTCTGTATGATTCAGACATAGGTGCACTGAAATGGACAGCAGTTAAACACTGCTGTGAAAGCAACACTTTTTGCATGATTCACAGAGAAGCAGCATGGCAAAGAAAAATATCTAGCAAAAAAGAAATAAATGAAGCACTTTTTACAAACACATGAATATAAATTGAATATTTCGAAGATTCAACAGAATATTGGTTCCAATAATGTTCCTCTTGTAATTAAATTACATTTGAAAGAATTACCATTTTATTAGACACATTTTACTCCCAATGTTATTGAATAACTAACTGCATTGAAAGTGTAGGAGAATAATCTTCTGTTAGTTAACATTTCAAAAAGTTTTTGATATTTCAATTCACACAACTCTGATGAACTAGTTCTGTTGCAATTGAAATGACATATTTGTTTCTTATATCAGAATGAAAAATTAAATTAATTATTTTGTTTTTAACACAAATATTTAATACTTTAAATGAATCAAATAAAATTTTAAATGATGCAAACTGTCAATATAAGCAAACAGAAATTTTTGTGTTTTATTTAGTAACTAAATTATTTATTATATATTACAAGTCTTTAACTTAAAACATGTTAATTTAAAAACCACTGTTACCATTTTCCCCACTGTCCAGTCCAGACAAAAATTTTATTTTGTTGCTAAAAATCCAAATCTGCTTGCTAGCAATCACTTTTGACAGTGACATGTCTATACATAACAGATTGAAAACGGGAAAAATTAAGATTTTTTGCATTTTTAATTCTTCTTCTTATCAAACAGTTTTTATATATATACAATGGCTTAAGGAAGAGGAATTTTTTTTATATATATTGGCTGGAAATAAGGAAAGAAAGCTGAAAGACAAACCGCACTGTATTTACCTGAGCATCATAGACTACTTGTACATCTTCAATAGGACCATATTTACCAAACACATCTCTAAGTTCTCGCTCTTGAGTATAAAGACTAAGTCCAAAAATTCCTAAGCAACGACTAGGCTCAGGATTGTCCTATTTCAAAAGAATTCAGTATACTATTTGGAATAGAATGACAAAAGACAAAAAAAATTTACTTATGGCAAAAACTTACCCGATTTCCAACATGCCTTCTCCTACTGGACATGGGAGAACGATTATACCTTGATGAGGAATAACGCCCTCCTTTACCCTCATACTTGCCATAATAACGATCTTCATAATATGAGTTACGTGGACTATACCGAGGAGAATAGGATCGTCTTGCAGAATAAGAACGGCTAAATTAAGAACATTACTAAAAGTTAATAAAAATATAAATTTTAAACACAACATACAAAACGAATTTAGAAATCAAAATGTTTCGCTACTCACCTACGACTTCTGCTTCTAGAGCTAAATAGGGAAAAAATTACAAACTTACTTTGAATATACATTACAAAAAAAAAAACAGATATAAGAATTTAGTTTGATGTCTTTATTACATTATCTCATAAGATTAAAACATTTTAAATACTAATTTTTTTATTAATTTTTAAACCTATGGAATCTTATCCATTCTCTCAGAACTCTTACGACCAAAAATACAAAAAACATTTCTCACTGAAATACACGTACCTTTCATGTTCAACTTTACTTTTAAAAATAACATGTGTAGTGTTATTATGCAATAAGTAAATTTTTTGATCTTTAAATGAGTTTTTTTATTCAGCCTTATTTTATTTTTATTTAGTTATGTCGACACTGGTTAAAAATAATAAATTGTATGAACTATAAATGTGACTAGAAGGGCAAATAAGACTAAAGGAATTTACTGGGCAATATTCAAAAAGAAAAAAAAAATTACCAGAAAGAATTCGTTGATAAAAAAAATAATAAAATTATATAAACATATAATTGAAGTTAAATCTTAATCAACATAAGAACATTTTTGAGGACAAAAAACCAATATGTTAGCAACCATTTAAAACTAATTATGGGAAAGATAAGCACCAATAAGATTGCAAATCTTAATTAAGCAATTAAATTTCCCCCCCCCTCTTTCTCTCTATATATACAGTGAAACCTCCGTTAAGCGGACATTCATGGAACTAAAAAAATTTGTCCGTTTATGAGAGTTGTCCGTTTACAGGAAGGGTACCCTAATAACGAAATTTAACACCGTAAATTTTTTTTAGAATATTCTCAAAGATGTAGAAATAATTATAATAATATCTACAAAGATACTGTAAATATCTACAAGAATATTTATTTAAAGAATAAGAAAGATAAAAGAATATATAAAGAAGTTTGATATAAATACATAATTCTGGATGCAGCTACAGATAAATAAATATAATTTTCCTATTAGCATAGATACTCAAGTTAGACATATGATACCAAATAGGAGCGTACTGTCCTCAGTCCGTTTCAATNGTTAAGCGGACATTCATGGGACCAAAAAATTTGTCCGTTTATGAGAGTTGTCCGTTTACGGGAAGGGTACCCTAATAACGAAATTTAACACCGTAAATTGTTTTTAGAATATTCTCAAAGATGTAGAAATAATTAAATAATATCTTCAAGGATACCGTAAATATCTACAAGAATATTTATTTAAACAATAAGAAATATATAAAAGAGATAAAAAAGAAGTTTCTTTATATATTCTTTTTTATATAATAAATATAAAAAAAGAATATATAAAGAAGTTTGATATAAATACAAAATTCTGGATGTAGCTACAGATAAATAAATATAATTTTCCTATTAGCATAGAAACTCACGTTAGACATATGATACCGGGGAATTAAAAATAGACATATGATACGGGAGTGTCCGCTTTGCGGAGAATGTACGTAATGGTTTATTCATAGAAGATTCCCGGGGAATTAAAAATATGTCCGTATTGAGAGGCGTCCGTTTTGCAGGAGTGTCCATAACAGGAGGTTTCAATGTATATGGTATTGAGTGGCTCAATCTGTTTTTTTTTTAAAAATAATTACTTTATTTTATCATCTAAAAAAAATTTTTTTAAATCAAAATTATAATTCATTTAACTATTATTCAAAAAAGTTATTGTGTGATTTAAATAAAAGTTATTTATAAAAGCATATTCAACAAGACATAATATATTGATACACAATATATTGATAAATATTATTGATCATACTGATTTTATAAAGATATATTGAGAATTAAGTAAACTAAGAAAACTTTAATAAATCCACATTGCTAATGTAAATTAGTGAATGACCATATTGAATTTTTATTAAAATTTGTTACTTGGTTGAATGTTTCACCTAATGAAATTACAAAAAATTCAATAATTTTGAAAGGATAATACAATGAGTATTTCAGCTGAACATTCTGGTCAGAAGTAAATTATTCTATGGTCCCTACATTCAATATTTAACAAATCTGTTCACAAAGTTAAAATCAAAAGGTTAAGTATTAAAGTGCAGGGTTTGCATTAGGTGTTGTTAAGTTTTTAAGTGTCGCAACAGCGTATAAAAAAATATTGGGACTCTCATAATTATCAGATTTCATACATACATCTATAACCTAAATTTACGAATTTTTTTTTTAAATTTTTAAAAAAAAAAATTTAAAAACTGACCACAGGTTGAACACTTAGAATTAGCAGGTTGAACACCCCTAGAATATAAAATCGATATCTGAATAAGAGTTGAATTGTTCTCATTAAACCTTACGGTAACACATAGATTTAATGTTCCCTTCTACTCATTTTATTAAAATGATACATAATTGATATTACTTTTAAACACTATCCTACCTTTATTAAAAGGCAATTTATTCTCAGTTTTGGATACTTCAAAGCAGGGTTCGTGATTTTTTTGATTCAAATACACTGTAAGAACTTTGATTTATGACTAAAGAAACTTTATAAATGTTTAATCTAAATTAAATTAATATTAAAACTATATTATTAGAATATTTTAGAAGCTCTAACTACCTAAAACAACTTTTCATTATAATACATAGCTTTGTAACCATTTGAAACAAATGCATGATTGAAATTTAAAGACTAGATGAAATAGAGAATTTAAAGAATACTTCAACTTTTAAAACAATGTTTCAATTACCAAAGCATAATTTTAATTTAAAATTGTGAATTCTTTTTTTTTTTTTTTTTTTTTTTTTTTTTTTTGGTTTTTGAAATTAAAAAATAAATGTAACAGTGTTTATAAATGTAGTCATTCATCAAAAAATAAATTATCTTTATAAATATTTAATCTATATATTTTGATAGTAAAATATTCATTTTTAATCCTACATCAAAATAGATAAGCTAAAAAAAATTTTTTTTTTAAATCTATGTTCTCATTAAAAAAAAAATTTCACATAATTTCTTTATAGAAAATCTGATAACATCAAAGATAATGTAAACATATTATGAGAAAAAAATCTTAAATGTTTATTTTAATCTGTACTTTCAATCTCAAGAATCAAAAGATTTTTTAAAAATGTAATTTCAAATGTGTTGGATTTTAACACATGCCAAGAAAGAAAGTAATTTCGTTAGCTAAAATTAATTAATGCAGCAATTCATTTAAAATAAATTTTAAAACTTTAACAGTATCAATAATTCAAAACACTGTTTTTTTAACTTTTTAAATCAATATATATATTATAAAAAATCAGTTTATTTAGATCAATGATTTTTTTAAAAAAAATAATTTGATTTCAATCATGATTTAAATCAAGCTGATTTAAATCAACAAACCCTGCTTCAAAGTATTTAGGCAAACAGCATATTGCATAAAAATATATAAAAATATTATTTTAAGGTTAATATCAGCCCAAATATTAAGGTACATTTGTTATAATGTTCAACATCAGATGCATGTTTTAGAAATGAAGGATTGAATAATTAAAAAAATACCTTAATAAAATTTAAATTAAACAATGAAAAAATATTAAGCAATTTCAATCTTCATAAATATCAGAACAGAAACTCAAATTAGCAATCATTGTAAATATACAAAAAGAGAAAAGTACAACTTACCTTCTACGTCGAGGACTGCGAGAGCGTGAACGACTGTAATGCTTATATCTATGATGGCCTCTAGAATGGCTTCTAGGACAAAGAATGAAATTAGTACAAACCCATAACTTCATTCTTCAGTTCAAGTAAATTGAAATTATACTGAATCTATTAAACACGAAACGTAAATAACATTTCACACTGCTTATTTTGTTTACTTCATTGTTACTGATATTCAAAAATTGTCCTAAAAATGAGACAGGGTACTTGTGACTAAAATAAGTGCAACTTAAGATTTGAATCGGACTAATTTAGCTATTTTATTAATGTTACAAATAAATTTATTGAACAAAAATGTAAAAAAATTATATTTATATGGGCAAATATCAGTATTTCCTTTAAGGGCGTCATATGCACTGCAATAGAGATCAGGTTAGGCTAGTATAAATAGATATTATATATTTAAATACTATACACACGTCACATGCATTAAACTGGCTATTTTTAATTTTAACTGATAATAAATTTCTTTCAAATAGTTCTTTACAGTAAATATTTCATACTTTATTCCAAAAAAGGCATTTTTAAGACAAGTGTGCTTTGTAGTTAAATAATGCTTAAATTAAAGAATACTTTGAATGATAAAATAAATGAAAAAATAGAAAAATAGAATTCCTCTGTAATCAATAACATTGGTTTCTGTTCCTTTTTTTCTTTTCTCCTTTCGATTTGAAGAATTAACAGTGCAGGTATGAAGATAACCCAAGGATAAATATAACCAAAGGATAAAAATAACCAAAACAAACAGGATAGCAGGATAAAAATAAGCAGGATAAAAGTCAGGAGGTATTCCTATTTAATAAAAATACTAAACAATGAACGAATGAAAAGAACAATAAAACATTCATAATTTAGGTCAAAAATGTGCCTACAGCTTGATACAAACATAATACATTTTCAGCTTCATTTATTATACGGTTTAAAATTAGGCATGTGATCGCTGAGAGAAGAAATTTTTTTTCACTATGAGTATTTTTTTCCAAGTAATTAATTTTTTATTCCTTTTATACATAAAAGATATTTGAAAGATTTTATGCACCAAACATTTTCTAAAACTAAAGAGAGGAAGAAAAATTTTTATGATCTTTTTTCTGACAAACACATAAAATAAAATATATATTTCGTAAATAAGTACAATCCTCCTTTTTTAGACAATAGACAATTCTTAAAAATAAATCCATTTCCAGAAAACAGATGACCTAATATTAGACTCTGAATATAAAACTATATGATCACTCGCAGCTTTTGTTAATTGTCAACGTAATCAATGCTTTAAAAAATATGCAAATTCGCAAACCTAGATCGTGAGTATGATCTTCTGCGACGAAAAGAATGTGATCTTGATCTACTACGACTCTGTGAATGGGTACGTCTCTCTTCTTCTATCTGAGGTGAAGGTGATCCTTCTGCAGATGGCGTTTTTTCTTCTAGTGACTGGCGATCAGAGCTATTCCCAATACCATCATTGCTGTTCTGTGGAACAATAAATTAATTAGTAAACAGACAAATTCAAATATTTCACAAAAAGTAAGACATTGTGGATGAATTTTTCTTTCTTCAAATTAAATTTGAAGTATTCAAAATCATTTTTAATTTAAAGTACAAAGAAAACTTGACTAAAAAAATTTTTTTAACTTCTTTGTAACCTTTTTTTGTTAGTTGTCTATAAATATTTTTCAATGCAAAAATTTAAGAATTTTTAATACCAATTTCTAACTAGCAATTCACCGAATAAATTTGCTTGCTTTGCAATAGTATTTTTTTTTTAAATATTAGCATCTTTTTTCAGCTAGCATTGCATAAATGCTATATAAAAAGATATACTGTGATAAATAGGGTAGGTGTAGTAGTGACATAGGCAATTAAAAGAAGATTTATTGTAAAGGAGGGAGGCCTGAGCAGTCGCCAGGTAGTCGGGACCCTGTCGGTCTTGATTTCTTTTAGGTTTCTTAGCCAATAATCTGCGGGTGGGGATCTAGCTAGCACCCTCGTTGGAGAAGGACCCCAACCAATGGAAANGCTTATGGAATTATTTTTGTCTCTTTATAGAATCAAAAGATTTAACACAATTAAAAAGTTAAAAATTTTAAAGAATATCTTAATAAACAGGATTTTTTACTAACATTCTTACTGATTATGGTTAAATCATTTTACATAATACATATCTCTCAAATTTCTAGATGTAAATTTTGTATTGATAAAAAGCAAGGGAAAAAGAGATGAAAAAACTAATTTTTCTTTTTGCTTATATAAAACAAAAAAATTTAAAATAACAGATTAAGTGGCAAATTTAAAGTAATTAATAATCTACTAAAAAGTATTTCACACAAATAGATCTAATACTGTTTAATATTAATTAGAAACTATTAATATTTTGATGAACACAAAAATATTCAATTTTGCTCATAAATTTATTACTAGAAACTTATTATTAAACTAATCCTTTAAACAAATATTTTTTGTCTAATTATTATATTATCTAATTATAACAGTTAATTTTTCTCAAAAATGGAATGAATAAAAAGGCAATGTTTTTTAAAGGCATGGCGGTTTATTTTCATAAAAATGGCAATAGAGTGCATTTAGAAGGGCTGGCCACCCGTCTAAAAATACTTAGGGAGAACACTACATATTTATAATAGCTAATAATTATCCTTCCACCAAAATTTGGGGGCTTTGACAGCTGTCAAAAAAGGAATCGTTAGACATCGCAGTTAAAGCCAAACAAAACAGCGAATTTGCAAAAAATTTTCAACCCTGAACTGAACTCAGAACAAATTAATCAATAGTTTAAATAGGTGAAGAGGTAATTATAGAATATTAATAACATTATTTAATAAACACTGTTACATTTTTTAATAAACACTAAAAAATTTAGAGAAGATCTAAAGAAATATCTATTATGCTCCTTCAAATAAACAAAAATATTATCTTACATTGAATAGAACAAAATGTATTACTTAAGATAAATAAATAGGTAAAGAACTTTCAGTGTGTAGATCTGTTACCACTATTTAAACTAGTTTTTAAATCAGCTTATACTTTCTTAGTAACTTTAAGAAAAAACAAAATATCTATGCTGCATCATTGTTCCTTGAATTAATAACAATACTTTTCTAATAATAATTCGCTGTTTTATAAATGAGCATAGTAAAGAGAAAAAAATGCACACATTATTAACATGAAACTTGTAATACACGAATCTTCAAAAATTTTTGATTTTAAAAGGATGATTTAAATATGTCAATTTAGACACAGAAAGAAACATAATACAAAGGTTCTTACTTTTTAATACAAATAAACAAGATTTTACAAATTCAGAGCCATTTAAATTTATACAATTTCCTGTCCAATTGGCAATGGTCTGAAAAACACCCATGTATACCATAAAACTTAATATGAGATTCTTCCCTTAGATCAATGTATTACATTTGGATTACAATAAACATATATGCACAATAAGTAGCAATGGTGAAACAAATTACTGTTTAGATAAACAAAGCAAATGCCAAAATCATGAAAAAAAATACATGCTATATTGATTCTTCTGAAAAACTCAACAGAAAAGGGATATGCCAATGACTTGTTTTTAGGATATAAATCAGGAGTTAATACAATTACACCAATGCAAATATTAATTAAGGATACTGCGTTTAACTATGTCATTTCATATTTATCTATGTAGTAAATATGGTATTAAAAGTTCAAGTGTTAATTATTAAACGAAGTGTTTAGGGCAAAATATGTGTTTTAGAATCCTTCCTATGAATTATAAATATTCTATTTGAAATACTTAAGTGTTTAAATAAATTGATTTTTAAAAAATGCTGAAATTAATTAACACAAAATTCGTCGAAAAACAAAATTTTTTCATACTTTTAAAACAACTTATAAAGCAAGGAATCATAATTATCAGCAGAATTTGTCAACTTGCAACAAAAATTTATGATCACTTTAAAACAAGCAAAAACAATAGTTTTAAAACAAGATGTGGGATTTTAACTTACCTCTCTATCACTCATTTTTTTTAATAAAAGAATTTAATACAGAGAATTTTTAAAAAGAACTTTCCACTTGTATTATACCGGCGAATCCTCAACAATGGAAAATAAACTCTTCAGAAAATGGCGTCACGCGGGATAGTGAGTTTTCTTCAGAAATGGCAGGACCGCAGAAAAGTTTATCTGCAAAATGAAAAACCTACCCTAATTTTAATTCAACTATGTCTAAATATAATAAAGAATTTAAAACATATAATTAATTTTTTATCAAGATAATTTATAATATTTGGTATATTTAATATTATTTTTTTAGCAAAAATATTGAAGTTGTAGTTGTTACACGAAACGAAATTTCCCACTGAAATAACTTCTAAACTCAACTACTGTTATTTATTTTTTTCGGCTGAAACTGTCTTGGCAGCCGAGAATCTTTTATGTAAACCCTAGAAATCTGTAGTATGATTGCATCAGAAATTGTGAAGCGTCGAGGCTGTTCTCACGCCAAGTTTCGTGTGGGTTGTATTTTGCTAGGGATACGAGACGCGTGTGATGTATGGTATCTATTATTGGCCCAGCACGCTTCCACTGCGCCACTCTTCTCTTACGATATCTGTCGTTGTGTATAACGCAATAGGCATCTGCTCATTTTTCTGTAGTATCTTTTTTCTTTAAATCGGTGTTATTGATTTAGGTCGCACATTATGGGACTTCAAATTACACATGTTCCTCAAAAGTTAACTTTTACAACTTATTTAATGGTAAGTTGTAAAAGTTAACTTTTACAACTTACTTTCCCTGCTTATTTAATGGTCAACATTCGTTCTAAATACACTTAAGACTCAACATTCATTCTAAAGAAGAAGAAAAAGAAGTAAAGAAATAAATAACGAAAAAACATTACGAGAAAAACCAAGAAATTCTGGTAAAATTTCCATTGAGGGAAAAAAGGAGGAAGGAAAAAAAATACCGACATTGTAAATAATATTAAAACGAAATATTGTTAACAGAATCATTTAACTTTCATAAATTGTAAAGAAAATAAGACGAAGAATTGTTGGGATTTATAAGCTCTTATTAATTCCCAGATAACAGAAAAAGGTTTTTCAAGTGAACCTAAATCAGTTTTTATGCGGTTTACGTGTAAACCTTCTAACCTTAAAACGAGGTCTGTGACAATCTGCTCGATTCTACTCACATTATCCTAATCCAAAGCCTTGAAAAACAACCTTCACAAGATTGTATGATGGCACGATTCTGCTACAATTAGTTTTATTCTTTATTCCGAGAAAAAATTCTCTTCCTTTTCTTTCAATTTGCTTTATTACACTGGGAAGGAGAAAACCTTTTCCATCAGTCTGATTTCCTTTGCTATAAAAACTTAAAGATTTATAAGTGAAAATATGGTTTAAAATGAAATAATTTTTTTTTCATTTGATGAATTAATAAAACATCTCATTTTTAACTGTAAAAATTATATAAAACAAGTAAATATTTTGTAAATTTATATTTTAATTATTTAACATAAATAATTTATTTAGTGTAGTGTAGCAAACTTTTACGTATTCTTTCCTATCAGTTCTTTTATTTAAATTGCTTTGTAGCAATCTCTTTTTACAAAAAATAATCAATTTTATCATCGAATTTCAAATTGCGGGGGGAGGGTGTTTAGATTATAAACTAACTCAGAAATTGTGCTAAATTATTTTTTTATGATTCTCCGAAGTATTGTTAGAGATTTGCTCTTTGAAAAAATTAGTTCAACTCTTTCAAAATGTTAATTTCTTGAACTATGTTGTTGTATGTTAATTGAAAAAAATATAAAAAATTTCAATATTCTGACTAAAACAAAAACATGTTACAGCGGATCATAGAGTTTAAATAGCAAAGTTAGAGAATTCAAAAAAATGTTAAAAGATAATAATTCATAATGATTTCGTTTTCAGCTCCTTACTAGGGTCTTCGTTTTTGCTTCATCAAGGGAAAACTAATGGCCAATGTGAAAATTATATAAATAACCATTTAAAAAATACACATGCTTTATAACATTTGTAAAATAACAAGTATTTTTCCACATTAGAATTTTTGAAGAAGTTATAGCTGCCTTCTTACATAAGAGTTCTATCTTGAAACTACTGATTATGCATGAAATATCCTATTACCCTATGCCTGAGCTCAAGAATTCGCACTTCTTATGATTTGCGAATGATACTAAGTAAACTTGGTTATTTACACACTCATTTCGTTAGTTTATTAAAAAAAAATAATTAAAAAAATTAAAAGAATGAAAAATTTATATTTATAATACCCCAAATTAAACAAGAGACAGTAACTTGTCACAGTTTTTAACTCAGACATTCTTTTCATGAGATAACTTCTTTTGCCAACGATTTTGTCCGTTTTTTATTATTAGTTAAGGTCAACTTACGCATTCTTGTAATTTTTGCATTTTATATTTGAAATTTTAAAGTCGAATGGCATGCATGATATGACCCCTAGTCCAAAGAATCAAAGTTAAATAGTTGCAAGGCCGATTGTTTCGAAAAGAATTAACTACTTCGGTGCAATGAAACAATTATCAATGAACTATTAATATTCTTGTTTCCTTATTACGAAATATAAGATCCAAATTTGTATTCATTATTTCTCCAAAACGTGTATTAAAACTATTATTATAGGTTATTTAAGTAGAAAAAATCCTAATGTTAGAAAAAGAAATTTTTTTTTTGATGATTCTAAAAATAGCACGCTTTTGGAATCTTTTTACAGTTCTTTACATTAGTAGTTGTTTAACAAAACAAGGCATATCGAACATTTTCCTGATATAACAATATTTTCTTGAAATGTGCTAAATAATCTAAACAACTTTTTAAGCAGACATTTTCAACTTTTTAAAAGAAAAGGGTGACATTCTTTAAGTTAGAAGGGCAAGAATAACTTTGAACGTCAAAATAAAATTGTATGTCCATACTTTTTTGTTCATTTAAAAAACAAAACTATTTGTTGTATTTTTCTGCTGTGCACGCATACGCATTTACTTTTCATTACTCAAATAAATAAGAAACAATAAAAAAAAGAAAATTAATAATTTATCTTCATTTTTCGGAAACAATAGTATGCTTAGTAAATAGTCAACTGTTCTGCCTCGAATGATATTGATCAGTAGAGTATTTTTAATGGATGGCAATAATCATAGAGTTGAAATAGTAGGTAGAGGAACCAAGTTCGCTTTATTCCTTCCGAAAAGACACGCCACAGATAGCAAGCAAAGAGCTACAATCACGTGATGGAAGGAGTGCAGTACTTGGCGCAGTATCACAAATGTTGGCGCACAAAAATTTTTTAAACAGCTTTATTTCGATATTACCGATGCGCAAATAATCGCAGCATTTGAATGAGAGAAAAAAATATTTTCGTTCATCACATTTCTTTAATATTATTAAATGGGTTTTTAAAACATAAGGATTTTTTTCCCTTAACAAATAATTTTTAATTAAAGTACTGCCCTTATTAAAAAAATTTAAGTAGTTCTCGTCTTTAGCCTTAACACTATTCCTTAAAATTTATTCATTATATAAAAATAAAAAACGATATTCTGCACCACTTATATTTCTTACTACATTCAGAAAAAAAATTTGTAAATGTTTTTATTGCAAAGACCTATTTTTTTTAAAAAAATTAGCAACATATATTGTAATAACTATTATTACATTTAACTATTGTTATTTTTTTAAAAAAAAATAACTTCGATACAAATATCACGATTTTTTTTACACCTACCAGGGTTTAAAATGTGAATTTTAAAATGTTGCCTTTCTTTTTTAATGAAACATAAGTTCGTTTAAAAACTAAATTTAATCTTTACGTTTTAAAAGTTTTGTCACTGTTAGATAAAACAAATTGTAAAATTAAACAGTTAATCTGNAGTAGTTGTTTAACAAAACAAGGCATATCGAACATTTTCCTGATATAACAATATTTTCTTGAAATGTGCTAAATAATCTAAACAACTTTTTAAGCAGACATTTTCAACTTTTTAAAAGAAAAGGGTGACATTCTTTAAGTTAGAAGGGCAAGAATAACTTTGAACGTCAAAATAAAATTGTATGTCCATACTTTTTTGTTCATTTAAAAAACAAAACTATTTGTTGTATTTTTCTGCTGTGCACGCATACGCATTTACTTTTCATTACTCAAATAAATAAGAAACAATAAAAAAAAAGAAAATTAATAATTTATCTTCATTTTTCGGAAACAATAGTATGCTTAGTAAATAGTCAACTGTTCTGCCTCGAATGATATTGATCAGTAGAGTATTTTTAATTGCTGGCAATAATTCAAAATTTTCTTTCAATAAAAACTTAACAATAATTTAAAAAGCAGTTTTATTTTAATGGAAAACATAAATTAAAGTACTAAAACAATTGATTAGTATAATAATGGAAAAATAACATACATGGTAGCATAAAAAATAAGATTTTGAGAAACGTCAAAATTTTATTAAAAATTTAGAAAAATAATTCGGAGAAAAAAGGGGGAAATAGGTAATTTGCAAATTTATTTTAAGATTAAGGAGCTATATATAAAATGTAAAGAAATTTTAAGATGCTTAAAAATGCTGACTACGCATTCATATTAATAGTTATAAAATAGATATTGAAAAAATTTATAAACATATGATTGATAAATCTATGCATACTTTAGTATATTACTGAAATTGTATCAATAATTAAAAGAACAAACTAACAATTAAAATGAAAAAAGCTGATATATAATTACATTCTATCAGAAACATGCTGTTATAAAACTCAACTAGAGCCCCTGAATTAGACTATATATAGTATAGTAGTATAGTAATCCTAGTACAGTAGCCTTAAACTCAACATGCGTTAATAGAATGCTTTTATTCAATAAAATGTTTTACTAAAATCTCTCTTTTAAATTAAGAATAATTTTTTTGAAAACTGAAAAAAAAAAAAAAACATCATATTTGATAATTTAAAAAAAGGATTAGCTATCGTTTACCAGTAAAAATATATGAATGAAATTTTACTCTACGCGCGTAAATCATGTCCTCGTAAGATAACCACATTTAAAGATTAATCACCGCATTTAAATATTTTTTCTTTGTCGCCAAATTATTTTTTTAAAAATAATTAATTTTGATTTTTCTCGGCTTCTACCATATAAAAACAGTTGAAACTTCAGATTTTGATGTAGAAAAATACATAGATTAAAACGATATTTTAAAAAAATTATACCTCATAATTCA